ACCCACAACAGCCCGCAGGGCCTGGCCCCCACATCTTGCAGAATGCCGACAGCATGCAGCGACCCTGCAGCGGCTCACCCGTCTGCCCTCCCTGGGGCACCCCAGCTGCATTTCGTTTTCAAATATTTAACTTTAACCTGTTTAATATTTAGTAAGGCTAAAGGAATAAAAGATGAATTATTGAAGAGATTAATGTTTTTAACCCCCCCCCCAAAGTCACAGCCAGGCAGCTTTGTATCAAAAACTCATTTCACAGGCATTAATTTTTTAATAAAATACTGATTGTGTGATGAAGAAGTGCTTCTAATAAGCTCCAACAGTCCATGGGAAGGGCGTTCTTGTTTTCTTGGGCTAAGTACAATCCAAATGGAGTCCTTTCTACTGTGGGATCCAGAAACTGTTGGGGAAAAAAAGGGGGGGAGTAGACCCTTAATTTTTCTCCTAATTTGTAATCCGAGTGATCATTTGAAACCTGGATAACACTGGAAACCTACCTCCCCAGGAAGGGGAGGCCATGGCTTTTCAGACGGTAACTCAGCAGACAAAGAGAGCATCCTCAGGAGCCGTGTTTTCTGGGGGCACGAGCAGAAGGAGGGGAGCCGGGGTGGTGAGTATTCAAGCAGAGTCAATAGGTGGGGCTTTGTTAATAGAGAAATCCAGTCTGGAGCCAGCGCAGATGGTGGGGCGGGGGAGGGGTGGGGGGGCGCAGAGGAAGGGCTGGGGCTAATTTCTTCCCCCACCATTTTTTTTTTTTTTTGCCATGCATATAATTTGCAATATCATCTTGTATTTCTCTTTTCTCTCCGCAGTTGAGAAGAGATGGGAGCCTCACATCTATTATTGCAACGCACAAACATTCCTCAGGCATGTTTCCCAGGGAGGGGTGTTTTCAGTAGTACGTGGAAGTGACAGTGGTAGAGACCCTCCCTCGCATGCAATTTCAAAACAAACACTGTAGATGGAAGCAGGTGAGGAAAGAACGGTGGACAAGCTTTGATCTGGAGACTATTGACAAGATTTAGACTGGAAAACCTTGCCACTGGGAGAAATTTGCAAGATTAGAACATCCAATTGGAAAATAGGGGGAACCCTGGATTCAGAGAAAAGGCAAAATTGTTTTAACTGGAGAAGGAGATGAGTCTGTCCCCGCGGCAAGCACTGCAGCACTGACTCTCTGCATAGCGACAGTTTATGGGGATTTATGCCTGCCGGGCTGCAGGGATGTATTTGTAAATGCATATTTATAAGGCCTCCCAAAGAAGCTGGAGGCAGAGCCGTGTGACATGAGAGGGATCCTGCTCAGAAAGAGATTGACTCCTGCACCCCTGGGTGGGGAGGGGCTCTGACGATCACAGACACGAGACCCTCTGTTTTCCTGAGGAAGACCAAGGCCGCACTGTGCTTAGCATCTCTTAGAAGCTCTCAGAGCCACCGTGTGTGTTGTTCCAAAGACAGCATATGAGGAAATGGAAACCCATTTTTAAGAGATGCCATTTCACCAAGCTGGACGTCTGTTCCTTTTGTGTTCCTTCTCTTGAAGGAATGGAAATTAGCAGCCAAGGTGAAGGGCAGCGGTGGTTGCAGACAGAAACACAGGCTCTTGAACTCAGCGTTTCACCAGAGGAAAATCCTAGACTGTGAAAACCCCTTTTTAAAGACATCAATACCTGCTATTTATAGGGCTTGGAAAATTGGTTTGAAGTCAAAAGCAATCATAGCCAAGGCTTTAAAACTCTGCACATGAAAAATCAACTTACAAAGATCTTTAAAAACATGAGGTCAAAGGTTCAGGAACCTACACGTGAGTCTGTCATCTCCAGTTTGTCTCACGCTTGAAGGAAACTATGCAAAATGACCACAAAACGTAGTTTTAATGACAACTTTTACAGTCTGATCCAATTGAGCCTGCACTGTTTGGTTGAGATAGATTTCTAGAGTTTTGTCTGATGATTTCTACTGGTAAGTTAGATATTTTATTTTTCCTGAAGTTCAGTATAACTCATGTATTTCAGAGAATGAAAAATCTCTCCATGCAGGGACTACAGTTATGAGCAATCATTCATTGTGAATGTTTGTGACTGGTTCATGTTTGCATAAATGCTTTCCTGGAGGCTCAGACAGTAGCGAATCTGCCTGAAAGGCAGGAGACCCGGCTTCAGTCCCTGGGTTGGGAAGATCCACTGGAGAAGGAACTGCAACCCACTCTGCATGGGAAATCCCATGGACAGAGAAGCGTGGCGGGCTACAGTCCGTGGGTTCACACAGAGTCAGGCACGACTGAGCGACTAGCGTTTTCACTTCCCTTTCACAGTTAATTTACAATATTGGGTTAGTTTCAAGTACACAGCAAAGTGATTCAGTTACAGTCCATATATATGTGTATATATCTATTCTTTTTCAGACCCTTCTCCATTAGAGGTTGTTACGAGACAATGGGTGTATCTCCCTGGGCTCTAGAGCAGGTCCTTGCTTCAGGGTTTGTCTTATCCAGAGGTGCCCGCTGTGAACATGCTTCACACGAATTCCTTCCTATGGAACTGAGAACAGGAACCATTCTCACCAGACGCAGCTGCAGCTGCGGCGTCGGTGACGCGGAGGTCACCCACTTCACTCCCACTTCTCGGGTTCTCCACCTGAACCTCGGTAACTCTCAGCAGAGGGCCTCCACCCAGAATTCACTGAGATACGCTCACCACGTGGTCTGGCCTCTCCCTTCTCCTCTGGCGACTTCGGTCTTTCTCACTTGCACCCGCTCCGCCCGCCTGGGGACACAGCCCTGTCCAGCACGGCCACCTCGGTCCTCCCGTCCACACCGGCCCCGTCCTAGCCTTCCCCCCAAGCCTGCTGTGTGCAAAGACGGCCCCCACCCCGTGGCCGCTTCTCGGTGCTGAACTTGAGCCTGACTCCCACCCCTGGGCCGGACTGGGAGCTGTGACACTCCCAAGCCTCCCGCGTCCTCGCCTCCTCCCTTCTCAGTCTCCTCCTTCCCTCGGCCTTGACCTCGCATCCAACCTTGAGGTCAGCAGCTGCCCCATCACTGCTCTGAGACTTCTCTCGGACTGGATCCAAGGGGCCCTTCTGTCCTGGGGAACCTTTCCCTCCAGGGCTGGGCCACCCCCTCGGTCTGCCTCAAGGCCCCATGAGCCTTGACCCCCAGCTGTCTCTGCGATCATCGTCACCGACGGGATTGCTTCCTCCCATCAGAGAGCTCACAGCTTAGGGAGAGACAGAGACAGAGAGAAGGAGAGCATGTCCCCCTGAAACCCCAGGGTGACTTAGTACAGAAGCCATGGCCCAGCCTGACCAATGACAACTGTGTGAATGTCTGGTCAGTGAGGAGAAGGGCATCTGCCCTCCTCACACCCACGAAGAACCTCCTTCGGAGACATCGACCTCAAGAAATAGGAATAAGTGAGTGCTTATCCAGCTCCCTGCTAGGAGCACGTGGAATGCTGACCCAAGACCAGAAAACATCAGAACCCCTCTTTCAGGGCGGCTCAGTGGGTGGGAAGTCTTCAGAACCCCCTGCCTCCAAACAGGATATGAGAGAGCGTGCTATTTTCTAGCGTTTGTAATTCTAAGACAGCTTCGTTTCAGCCATATTTATAAAGTTGAAGATTCCAGGAATTTGGGGTGGGTTCTGGGACAGTTTCTTGCTCCTTTTCACTTGGGGGTCTCTGCTGAGGTTGCCACCCCTGCAAACATCTGCACCTCAAAGTGAAACAAAGCTCTAGTTTCCCAAGAACTGGGCAAGCCCGAGAGTCTCCCTGGTGTCTGCTGAACGCGAAGTTCCACAGCTGGGGTTAGTGATTAAGCAGACTTGGGGGAACTGAGCAGTTTTTGGTTTTTCCTCCTTCTTCTTTGAAACAGACCCCAGGAAGCCCGCTGGCCCCATGGGGTGCCAGGGGAGCTGGTGCTGGGAGACCCGCCTCCATCGGGTTATGGTAGCTCTCATCAGTGGGAAAGGCCGGGGGACTGGGCCCCCCTCCAGGTGACTTTGGGGAAAGGAAGAGGTGGAGGAGTGGCCGGTGGACACAGGGCGCTGTCCTTAGGGTCCGGCGGCCCTGCCCAGCAGGAGAACCAGACCACGGGTCTCACCCATCAGATGCAGCTTCATCCAAGTGTGGCGTGTGGTTGGGTGGCTCACAACGTGTGTGTGTGAGAGACAGAGAGAGAGAGAGAGAGAGAGAGACATAGGGAAGGAGAGAGAGGTTGGAGCCAAGTTTCTCCCCTTCAGGCAGACCCAGAGGAGGAGCCCCCGCCTCAGCTCACGCCGCGGTCAGGACGAGGGGCTATGAAGGTAAACACACGGGCTGGATGGTCCCTAGCACCTTATCCTGCCCTCGGGGAGCTTGGAATCGAGACAGGAGTAGCATTCATCCCACAAACCCGATCATTCATAATACTAACACAGAGTTGCTTTAGACATGAGTCAGATGGAAGGGGAACACTGAGTTGGTGTTTGGAGCAGATTCTTGTCCTGGAGGCAAGATGTTAACTAAAATATGAGAGATGATTCCAGTTCAATAAACAGAGAAGACGGCATTTTGGATGGGAACGCCTAAAGCAGTATTAAATATCTGATCTCTTACCTGCTCCCTCAACAGAGTCTTTGATTTGGGGGTTCAGGTTGTGACAATGACCTGCTAATTTCACATAAAACACATGTTCCTATTTTAGAGACAAAAACGGCACCAAATGCTGGTCCTCCTCCATTCAGGGTCCTGAAGTTTAGAACCTGTTGCGATCGATGCTGTTGGCTGATGCACAAACAATAAATCGTTTTCTCATCTTTGGCCCCTGTCGTTCCTGAAGGTAAAGCTAGAATTAGACATATGAAGATAAAAATTCCTCAGGCGGAATGTTGTTAGGAGATTGAAAGTCCGAAGGGTCCTCATCACAAAGAGACGTTTTTCTCCCCTTTTTCATCGCACGCACAGATGAGGAGAGAGGGGTAAATTGGGTCTCTAACCCGTCCCTCCCCGCTCTTTCCCCCTTAGTCGCCATGAGCTCGTCTTCAGTCTGCGCACCTGTTTCTGGTTTGTAAATAAGCTCCGGCGCATCCTCTTCTCAGGTTCCGGTCAGTGGGGTTTCGTGGGAAAGCAAAGGGAAGTCGTGATCCCTTTGGGGCGTCGACTCGTCTCTCCTGCTCGATTGTCACTGCGCGATGCTAGAAACCTAGGCGAACGTGCCTTTGCCTTCCTAACAGCGGCAGATGCTGTGATCTGTCAGTGCACACGTGCTAACGGGAGTGTCCCACGTTACAGAGACGCAAAAGAGCCTCCTCAGGGGTTTCTCTCAAGCTTTGCCCCCACCGTGAAAGGCCTGGAGCTGCAGGAAGAAGAGACTTACCTTTGCGCCTTCACTCTGGCTATGTTTTACAGTCAGCGGCAAACCCCTCACCCGGTGTCGTCGCGTGTATATTTGTGGAAGGGGAATGACTCCACAGAGCACACTTCCTCCCTTTTGAAGTGTTTTGGGGTGTTTTCTCTTGTTCCCTTCGGGCTTTTCCGGATATTACAGTGATGCTGGCAAATGTTTCCTGGAGCTCTTGGCTGTCATTTCACAGAAGGAAAAACAAATGGAGAGACCTCAGGGTGACCGTCTCTGTGTCCTGGACAGGGAAGTGATCGTTCTGGAAGCTTGCCCTCCTGGTCCCGCAGACACCAGACCCAGCCGAGAGTGTTTCATCTCATCTCGTGGCTCGTGATGTGAACCAGACAGACCTCTCCTCCTGTCCTCCTTGCTTATCCTCGCCTTGGCTACCTTTATTTATGTCTTTTTATACCAGACAATCGGGCTTTCCCGGTAGCTCAGCTGGTAAAGAATCCGCCTGCACTGCTGGAGACCTGGGTTCGATCCCTGGGTCGGGAAGATCCCCTGGAGGAAGAAATGGCAACCTACTCCAGTACTCTTGTCTGGAGAATCCCGTGGACCCAGGAGCCTGGCTGGCTGCAGCCCACGGGGCCACAAAGAGTCAGACACAGCTGAGCGACTGAGCAAGCACCGCATCCCAGACAATCGTAGCCATAATCTCCTTCCAGGAAATGTACCTTAAAAGCAGGAATGCTCACATTCTCCTCATGTTACATATATGGTTTCTCAAAGGATTTCTTGATGAATATCTCCTTTTATAAATTCATTTTCTTAACAATTAGGCATATAAGTGGATTTGACAAAGAATTCTCTTGAGGTCCTTTCTCCATGCCTTTAATTGAGTCTGTTTTCCCTGTTGAGGTACAGCTGATTTGCAATGTTGTCTTCACTTCCACTGCGGAACAGCGAAGTGACTCAGCTATGCGTACACATTCTTTTCATATTCTTTCTCGTTACGCTTTATCTCAGGGTACTGAACACAGTTTCATGTGCTATACAGTAGAACCTTGTTTATCCATCCTATATACACTAGTCTGCATTTGCTAATCCGAACTTCTCCACCTCCCCCCGAATAAAAAAGGATAAGGGTTTTTGTTTTACTTTCACGAGGTCCTCACCCACAGGGATCAATGCCTTATTCTAAGAATTGTCTTTGGAGTTATCTTTTGGGGAGGGGACCTTTTTGGTGGGCTATCTTGTCTAGGAGAGTTGATGAGGAGAAGGGGACAACAGCGGATGAGATGGACGTGGGTTTGATCAAGCTCCGGGAGATGGTGAGGGACAGGGAAGCCTGGCGTGCTGTGGCCCTTGGGGTCACAGAGTCAGACCCTTGGGGACTGAACAGCGACAGTAGACGGCAGAGTGGTGAGGACACAGTGAGCTTGCTGCGGCACCAGCAGCGCCGTGGGCACGTGGAGCCTTGAGTTGATGGAGCACCGTGGGACATGTTCATCTGATAGGCGAATCTTTGGGGCTGAGCAGATGCAAACTAGTATATACAGGACGGATGAACCACAGGGCCCTATGTAGAGCACAGGGAACTGTATTCAGTATCCTGTGATAAACCATCATGGAAAAGAATATGAAAAAGAACGAATCTGTGTGTAACCAAATCACTTCGAGGTACAGCAGAAACGAACGTAACTAAACTTCAGTAAAATAAAGTTTAAAAACGTGACTCGAAAGGCAGTGTGGACACAGCAGTGTCCCTCCTGGTGGAGTCACACCCGGCCCCGGCTGTGGATGCCAGATGACGGGAATGCGTGTGAGCAGCCCCCGGCTGCTCCGACCCGGATCAGGAAGTGGACCAGAAGCAGGAAGGACCAGGGGCTCCTCCCCAGGACGTTACAAGCAGTGACGAGGCTCCAGAGTGGCTCAGAGGCCACATCGCACATTTCAGATCATCACCATCAGGTAGCCACAGAGGCCGCGACACACCTTCTGCATGCCTTGGGGGAGGCCCCACTCGGTCTTCTTTGACCGTTATTCAGTCGCTCAGTCGTGTCCGACTCTGCGACCCCATGGACTGCAGCACGCCAGGCTTCCCTGTCCTTCACTATCTCCCAGAGTTTGCTCAAACTCATGTCCATTGAGTCGGTGATGCCATCCAACCATCTCATCCTCTGTCGTCCCCTTTTCTTTCTGCCTTCAATCTTTCCCAGCATCAGGGTCTTTTCCAATGAGTCAACTCTTGGCATTAGGTGGCCAAAGTATTAGAGTTTCAGCTTCAGCATCAATCCTTCTAATGAACACCCAGGACTGATCTCCTTTAGGATGGACTGGTTGGATATCCTTGCAGTCCAAGGGACTCTCAAGGGTCATCTCCAACACCACAGTTCAAAAGCATTAGTTCTTCAGCACTCAGCTTTCTTTACAGTCCAACTTTCATATCAGTACATAACTACTGGAAAAACCATAGCCTTGAGCATTTTGTGTGGAAGGAAAAATGAGACAGCATTTGGGCGGGGGAATCAGCCTGCCTATGATCTTCAGATGTTTCTCCCACAGCCTCTAAAATAATTTGGAAAAACTATGGATGTACCTCCTCACACATCTAAGAAGAAAAGGAGAACTTTCCCACGTGCTGTTGTCAGGAAGAGCTTTCCCTTACAACATGCGTGGAGGTCTACTTATTCTAAATGCAGTTTTGTTCACACCTTGGAGTGGAAGGTTTTTCTCATGGCATTTATGTAAAATGATTATCACATGATCCAATTGAAAGAGCCAGCTCTCAAGGTCAACCTGATTTGCTAAAGTAGACTTAATTTTTCCTAGAAAAAGGCTGACTTGGTTTTTTGCTTTAGCTGAGCTTGTCCCCATGGCAACCGTGTCCATTCTGAGCGCCATCCTTGGGAGGCTGGGAGGTAGACACAGAGCCGTGGAACTGCCCTGAAGTTGTCGCCTGCATGCTGTGAGCACAGGGTTCTCCGTGAGTCTTTTCCAAGCTTTCTGGGCTTGTTGTCAAAGCACTGTGGTTGTTCTTCATGTCCCTTTGTTCAGTGCTCAGAGGATTTTTGGTCCCGCCCTGACCCCAGTCCAGTCAGAATGGGTGTGTCCGACTCTGTGATAAAGTGGGAGATGACAAATGTGAAGAGGTAAATTCCCAAGGCGCGGTGGGGACGCCGTTTCAAGCTAAAGGAAAGATTGTGCTAAGTAAGGATCCAAAAAATGATTCCATGATAATTATTCCTCCTTACCTCCTACCTAGCAATCTCACACACCCCAGAACACGCAGACTGCTGGCCATGATGGCTCTGCTGTAGATAAGAGCTAGTATTTGAAGAGCTCAGTGATCAATGAAGGAGAAAGTTGCCACTCCCGTGTTCCCTGGGACAGGTCTCCATACACAGGATCTCTGGATACACAGGGACCTGATCACCTAAGGGAAATGCAGGCATCCTTCTGTGTGGATGTAGCATCATGCATTTAGATGCACATTTATTGAAGAGTATATGGCTGCCCTGGTGGCTCAGATGGTAAAGCGTCTGTCTGCAGTGCGGGAGACCCGGATTTGATCCCTGGGTTGGGAAGATCCCCTGGAGAAGGAAATGGCAATCCACTCCAGTTCTCTTGCCTTGAAAATCCCATGGACAGAGGCACCTAGGAGGCTACAGCCCATGGGGTTGCAAAGAGTCAGACACCACTGAACAACTTCACTTTCACTTTATTGAAGAGTGACTCTCAGCAATAAGCAATGAGCCATAATTTCTTTTCTGAATACCGACTTACAAATTGAAGCTTTTGTTTTTTGAATGCATATCAAATTAGAAAAAAAAAGTTTTTTAACTATTATTTTTTAAAATCTTTTTAAAAACTGTGTCAAGAGTTCAAATGATGGGCTGGAGGAAAGACATCAGAAGGACCTCTGGTGACCCGTGTGGACACCCGAAGTTTCAGGGCCACTGATAAAAGTAGACTGGCCTTGTTCTTACCACTTGAGAGCAAAAAGCACTCGTCAAAAACATAGTGAAAAGATACTGAATGTTCAGTGACTGAAAATCATCGTTTCCATGAAAAAATAAAACAGAAGCTTAAGGGTAAGCGTATTCCTAATCTCAGGAGCTAGAAATCTGGCTTCAAATATACACAGTGGTTTCAAGCTCTACTGAACCAGGGCCATCCCATTAATTATGGGTGACATTAGGGTTTAAACAAATACAAACTGTTTTGCCCTCACCTTTAGAAGCTCCTGAAGCAAATGTTTTATTCCCAGTGAGAACCACTTTGCAGAGCTCAGGTCTTGGAATTATTAGAAAAACTGCAGTGCTGGGAGGCCATCCAAAAATATAATGGTGGCTTGTTGACACCTGGCTTTTACTGGGCTGTTATTTATGGGAGGGGGCAGGGGAAGGACTCGAAGTTACTGAAGATGACTCGACAGGCAGGATGAAGAGTGATGGTAGGAAAATGTCAGCCCCAGGCCAAAGACTGCACACATTCTGACATTTTCCTGTAATCTGGGCCCGCAGCAATCCCCACTGATGAGTGAAGTTTCACAAAACTTCTCCATTCAGCTCGAACATAACTTAAGAATTTGCTAGTGCCAATGCTAGGGTTTGTCATAGTTACAGTGACTATGCTGAAACACAAACAGACAAAAAAGAACTTGTTAGAACATAGAACTCCAGTTAGCCACAAGCCACTGGTGGAAGAGACTGATCTGCATTTCGGTTGTAGCTTATCGAAGTCAAGAAGTCTTTCTTCTGGGTAATCATGGACTTGACTGAGTTCGTCCAGCCTGGTCTATTCTATTCCCTCTTGTAGATTCAAATTATTTTGAACGCTTTTTTAAAGACCTTCTCTTGCTGGACTGGCATGTGGTGTGTAATCAGTGAGACTCAGGTCTATATTTCTCTACAACCAAGTGTCCTTTGTCTATGGGCTAATTGTCCAGTGTGCTTCTGTCATATCAGACTGAAGGTGGTGCCTGGTGGGAAGGGAGGCATTTTTTCTGTTTTTCAGCCACGGTTCACATGATAAGCCACAAGGTCAGATGCTCTGTCTGTGGATACAGGTTGGTTCAGCGGACGTGGCTCTTGGTTTCACACCTTGTCACCCCCTTCGGGTCTTCTCCATCTGGCTCACAAATCTCTCTTGATCATCTCTAGACTGGGAACGTGGTTTAATGAAAAGTGAAATTGCTCAGTTGT